TTCATTTTTTGTATGAATTGACAAAATTCTGAAAGTTTAAATGAGTGTTTATTATGTACATTTTATTTCATAATACAATCATTTACTTTCCTTTATAAATTATGTATCTTAAGAAATAATCAGTTATACCGAGTTGAGATGTAACATTTTCGTAATCAGTTATTTTTAAGGACATTCATTATATTTCATAAGATATTTAATTTGAAATAAAAACCAGTTGTACTTAAATTATATTGCTAAACAAAAATAATTATTCAAAAATTAGTGTTATATTTTTTAAAAAGGAAAAAATGCGTACGACTTCCTAAACATTTTAATTACAATGGAACCCTTTTATAAATAAATTGCTGTTGATCTGAGAATTAATTTAATATTTTTTATAAAAATATTTAATTAAATAAATTTATGTATAGATTAAAAAGAAATGTTAATAATAAAACAATTTTTAAAAATGATATAATTATTAAGTCTCATACTAAAAAAATATGAATGTAAAGTAAAAGCAGTGGCGTAACGTACACCCCCTCCCCCCCCCTCCAACCTCTGCATCGTAGGGAGGTCCAGGATTTTAGGGTGCCTAAAGCCTAATGTAATGGTTTTGTAATCCTTTATAAGATCTGTCTTGGGGCCCAAAATCTGACCTTTGGAAGGGGGGGGGCTAATATTCTCCTTTACACCACTGGGTGTAAATTAATATAAGGGAAATTCAACGCAATTCAATTAATAGTTCAATACTTAATCAAGAATGTTTTTTGTACATTTGTTTTCTCTTTGTAAATACGTATTTAAATGCAATTTAGTAAAATGAATCTTATTTATTTTCTTCCTAAGTATATAACATATTATAGAAGAAATTTAAAACGATTATTATTTTTTTTTATTAATCTTCCTAAATAGCCTAAACCACCTGTTCGTTGAAAGAAGAAAATGGAAGTATGATATTTATTTAGTTCCATTTTCAGATTGTTTTAAAATCCTTATAATATAAAAACAATCTTCAAATCTAATTGCTGTTTCAATTCCAAACTCTTGCTTCGAAATTCTGATATCCATTAAATAAGAGCAAGTGATAAAGCAATTATCTTTCTCATATTGCTAATAGTCTGTAAACACTTTAAATTCTACATTCAATGCACAAATTACATAAATAAAAGCATTTATCTGAAGTTATTTAAACAGAAAACACTTTTCATCTAATCTTTATTGCGAGGCATGCAATGAAAAAAAAATATTAAATCTTTAATAATGTGTCATCCCCAGGGTGTTATCTATAATAAGTTGTTGTTTTTTAAAAAAATACAGACCATTTTATATAAATCATCTTCGCACTGAAGAGT